GTTGCAATATCGCAAGAAATCTCGCCCGGACCCCCGGACCCCATCTTTCTGCATCGTTTTTTCGAGCCGGATCGATGTGTGAGGGTCCCGGGGCCCGAAATCGAGCGAACACGTCCTTTGCGAACAAGAAGCTGCAACGCCAGGATCTCAGGCTCCCCCTCCCCCGGTCCAGAGGGTCGGAGGCAGCGCCTCCCGCCGAAGTCCGCGGGGACCATTCAAAAATAGTAAAAAGATGGTCTGGGACGATTTGTCTATATATGTATACTTATTTGATTATTTGTGAGCATTTCTTTACTATTCTGTATTTTTCTTCCAAAATGGGCCTGTGCGGGGACGTGCCCGACCTAAGCCCAGCCGCGCGCGAGGCTCGGCGGCTCCGAGAACAGTTCGGCAGCAAGTCATGGGAGCCTCGTGTGCCCTCGCAGGTTTCTCTCGTTCGTGTCGACTCGCTTCGATTGGCGTCTGCGAGTCGATGCGATGGCGCCGATTCGGCGTCTGTGAGCGTCGTCTTGGCGTCGTCTTGGCGTCGACTAGCGTCGATTAGCGTCGATTCGCAGGAGTCGACAAGATGGTATGGGAGGCTCACAGGAGTTGCCACCGATGAGTATGTCTCAGATGGTCAAAGTAGTGTCCACCATGTCAGTTGCAGCCCCACGCGTTCCATTGCTGGAAGAATAAAAGTAATCGTATTAAGAATAATTGTAATACCAATAAGAAGAAGAAGAAGAAGAGCAAGAAAAAACAGAAGTCCGACGGTCGGGGGGGCGGGCGAAGGACACATGCCCGGCCAGTAATTTGCTTATCAGAAGAAGAAGAAGTCTCATCCGAGGGTGATGCTTGCCGTCGTGCGCAGTCGCGGTTGGAGATGCGCTCGTTGCGGGTGAGCGAAGCGGGGGAGCTTGGCCAGCGAGTCCAAGGCACTCCGGTCGGCTTTGGAGGCCAAGCAGCAGTGGGAAGCGACTCGCGCCGAGCAGTTGTGGCAGACTCCCGCGCCGACGGCGACATCACCGCCCATTGTTGCGCCAGCGGCGTCAGCGATTCATCTCTCCGCGCTCGTTGGGGTCGAAAAGGCAGCTCTCACCATTGTCGACGGGAATTTGCTTGGCATCGGCGAGCTTGAGCTCGACGGGGTAATTCGCAAGGAGTGGGAGCAAGTCAAGGCGGAGCTGACAGCCAGTGCGCACGCGGAGGTTGCCCCAGGCCCTCGGGCCCACTGCCCAGAACACTGCCCTTCCAGGAGGGCAGGCGCCGGAGCTTGCCGCCCGTCTGCAGGCCAGGCGCAAGGCGAGGCCCGACAGGCGAGCCCACCGTTGGCAGTGGAGCTGCCGCGGGGAGCGGCGGGAGCCGCGGGTGCTGCAGCCTCCGTGTGGCTCCTGATGCCCTCGGGGCTCCTCTCCCTGGCGGTGACGGCGACGGCTCTACTAACGCCCCAGCTTACAGGATGCTTCAGGAGCAACTACTCGAGCCTAAACTGGCTCGGCGTTGGCATCACGGCAGCCAGCCTCGCCCTGGTCAGTTGGGCTGGTCTTTCCAAACCGTACTTTTCCGTACGATGATGAGCTCTTGCTCGCCGAGCTGGAGTTGGAGGCCCATCAGCCAGGTAAGCCCGTAGCCCAGGGGGGTGAGCCTCGGGTGTCGGCTTCGCGGTAGCCCAATGTTCTGACGATGTTGCGGTTGGTCCTTGTTCTCATCTCCTTGGTGAGGCGCCAGGGAACCGTGCAGCCCGCTACGGTCCTAATGATGTCGGTCGCCAGGCTAAAACCCACGCGTTCGTTCCTGCGCGGCAGTTTCCCCCGTGGGGGCATCTTTCTCACGACCACGGAAGAGGCTGTTTGGGATGACGAGTGCTTCTGGCTCCAAGGGGGCAAGCCTCAGGACAGCGATCCAGGGGAGCGCTGGGTCCAGGTGAGGGCAAGTTTCCGGCAGTGCGCTCAAGGCCCAGGCCTCCTTCGAGCGCGAGCCAAGGTCGGCGGCGAGCGAGGGGGGGAAGTGAGAAGGAGAAGGCGTTCCAAGAAGCTTCGGAGGTCCCCCGGCCTACTGAGAAGTTTCCCAAGCCTTCCCCGAAGGCAGAAAAAACCGATCGGAAGGCGCGAAGGCTTCTGAGAAGTCCCGCCGCCTTCCGAGAAGGCCCTCTCCTCCTCACCTCCCCCCCTCGCTCGCCGCCGAAAGGAGTCCCTCCGGCGAGCCTTTGAAGTTGTCCCCGTCGTGCCGAGCGGCCGCCCCATGCCCGCGAGGCGTCTCGGGCCCGGAGCAATCTGCCTGTCACGACAGTGTGTCAGGAGGGAAAGGGATCGGAGGTTGACAGGCCTCCTACCCTAACGCGTCGATGAGTGAATTGGCCGTTTTCGGTTCGCGAGAGGGCGTCGCGGCCCTTATTTTTGCGGGTCCAGGTCCGTCGGCTTCGGCCCTAGGCCGTCTTCTTTAAAGGGAGGTTTACTAAAGGGAGTATTGTCCACCGCTGGAAAAACACAGGCACAACTAATCGTCGATCCCCAGGAAAATAGGGGAAAATATGGGAAGAGGGGAGGAAGACGAAAACCCAGAGAGCACAAGGACATCTGGGGAATCCTGAGATCTGGGTCTCTTTATTTGTGTGTCCCAGGGCCCCTTCACTGTTGGGGGGGGGGCCTCGAGGCTCACCGTCGCCGCGTGGGATGTCCTGGGGCGCAGTCCTAGGGGCAGAGGGCACGCAGCCCGCTTGGCCGCGCCAGCCATTGCACGCCCGTGGGTCGTCGTCGCATGCTGTGCTGGATATTTTGCTGTTTTTAACTCCTTCTCCTCCTGCGCCTACTCCTCCTCCTCCTCCTGCTCCGCCCTCCTCCTCCGTGCTCCTCCTCCGTCCTCCTCCTCCGCCCTCCTCCTCCTCCTCCTCCTCCTCCATTTCCTTCGCCCATCCTGGTGGGCTGGAGGCTTGTGCAGAGGGGGGGTAGGGGGAGGGGGGAGGGCTTCTTAGAAGCACCCCTGCTTCTCACAAGGCGCGGGCCTTATCTATAGATGTAAGGCTGGCGCCTTCTGAGAAGCAGCCTCCTAAGAAGCCCTCCCCCCTCCCCCTACCCCCTTGTGCGCGCCGCCAAGTTGTGGTCATCGCTTCCCCGATGCTCCTGGCGGCGTTCTTGCCGGCAGCGGGCTGGATGGAGGTAGTCACCCAGCTCACCCCTGGGTCGTCTTCGTCGTGTGTCTGATGCATGTGCTCCGGGCGGCGAGCGTCGCCGCCCCGGGTGCAGCGGCACCGCACCCTTCTCTGCAGTTCGGCGGGAGGCAAACTGAAGACCACCGCTGCGCAGGCCCCCCCCCCACTGTTCCCAGGCGAGGGGCCCCGAGCGGCTGGCAGCGCAGGCCCGGCCCAGAGGGCGGCCGGAGCCTCCGCGCCCGCCAGGGCCCCGCGGAGCTGACAGACGCGCAGGCGGCCGGGCCCCGTCCACGGACGGGTGGGGCCCGGCGAGGTCGGAGCCTCCGTGAGGAGGGCGGCCGAGGGCTCCGGCCTCAGGGGGCCACGCGCGAGCCTTACGTCGGGCTTGTCCCTCTACAGGGGGAGCATTCAACAACAGTAAAAAGATAGTCAGGGGACGATTTGTTTGGCTCATTTTTGCCCATTTGGCTGGCATTTTTGGAGTATTTTTCTGGGTTCGCCCAAAATCCCCCCACGACTTCTTGTCTTCTTGCTGTCCTCTTGCTGTTTTGGGTCTCTGCGTCGTCACACGAACGTGTGGGCCTGGCCACCACTTTGCACTGCTCGGGATTCGGTCCCGACCGCCTTCTCTTTGCCTACATGGTGGAGTCCTCTTCCCATCAGTTGGGGAGCTTGCAATTTTAATCATCAGGTGTTTGCGCTGGAAAAAAATCCCCCCACGACTTCTGAGGGGAGGGTACGGGGTGCACTTCGCTCGGGAGCTCCCGAACGAAGTGATCCCCACACTCCCCCTCAGAAATCGTGGGGGGCGGGGGTAGGGTTCGCATGTGGCCCCCTGGGCCTCGGTCCCCGTGGAGGCCGGTCCGGAAGGGGTGGCCAACGCCGCCGCCGCACAAAGGGCCACTGGTGGAGCCCCCAAGGCGGGGGACGGCCAGAGCCTCCACAGGCAGGCCCCGCGCGACGGGTGAGCCGGGCGGCCCCTGCGGAGCCCCCTCCTGCGCGGGTGGCCGATGCCTCCGCTGCCGCCGCACGGGTGCTCGGCACTCCCAGCGGTATCTCCAAAGTTCTCCCCGGTGCAGTCGACGCCAGACGGCGAGCGTTGCCAGGCAGCTGCCATGGCACGCTCTACCCCAGACGGCGAGATGGCGCCCTTCGATTGCTTGCGCGGTTCGGCCGATGGGGAAGGATCGCTCGAGGCCCCCATCTTGTTTTGCGAGGCTGAGGCGGAGCCTAGTTTTCCTTTGGAGATGGTGCTACCTATGGCGCAACCTATTCTGCAACCACTGGTGCACCTCTGGCGCAGCCTGGGGCGCGACCGACGGCAACGAGGCCGAAGCCGAGGAGGAGCAGGCGGACGTGACATTGGCACTCACCGCTTCTGTGTTGCTACGCCTGCTCTACGCTCACAGTGAGGGCTCGTGGGACCCAAGTGGCGAGGTGTCTCGTGATTCCCACGCGTTGCTTTCCTGCATGGCTCAGTTCGACCTGCCCCTAGCCCACCAGAACATGATCGCATCATGATCGCACCGGCCTCACGCGCACCTGCAGCTTGCAGTCCTCTGCAACCTTGGGAGCAGCAGACGCGCTGCTGCATCACCACGCCGGCGGAGCACGACGAGGTGTGCGCCTGCGTGTGTGGCCGCACCTTTTTGTGTCCTGCTGACTGGGCCCGTCGCACCTTCGCGTGCCTGCCGAGCCTGCGTGCAGCACTGGCTCCCGGTGCTGGTGCGCACCGTCTCGGACGAGACCCCGTGGCCTAGAGGTTTACTTTTTTTTGCGCGCGTGCCAGTGCAAATGTGTCCCATGCCTGCCTGCATCGCTGCGGCGTTGAGGAAAAGTATGCGTGTGTGTGTGTGTGTGTGTGTGTGTGTGTTTGTTCTTGTGCGAGTCTGTGCGTGGGCGTCTCTCTAGGGCCCACCAGGGCCCCCCCGAGACCTGTTCTTGTCCTCCTGCTCATCGTTGTGCTATTGATCGCCCTCCTACTTCTTCTCCGCCTTGCACCGGCGAGTTCTCATGTGCCAGTCTCACGGTTCGGCTGTGTTGATGAGACATTCGGGCGTGATCTAATATTGGGCACCCGACAGGTTGCTGAAGATAGGTTCCCTGGGCGGTTGGATTCACAAAATGCACGCTCGCAGTGCGCGTTGAGATAACGCGTGCTGGTGAACGGCGGCCGATGTGGAATGTTATGTCGTATGTATGCCAGGGGTCTAACCCACCGTGCTGATTGCTGATTGTTACAGCCACACGCCAGTGCCCACTCGTTCACCAATGGGTCCCGCATGGCATGATGTGCAAGCCTGCACGTTGCTATCATTCAGATTTTGCGCAACGCGGTGCGCACCTCCCTCAGTCTTATCACGCACTTCAGCATGCAAGTTGCACGTATCATACACTTCTGCGCTGTTTCGCCATCCCTTCATACTCTCCCCTCGGACCTCACTCTCTCTCTCTCTCTTTCTCACTGCGTCTTCTGCTTACCAGTCTTCTTTGAGCATGTCCTCTGCTTCGGCGGTAGTTGTTCCAGGCTTTCACTTTACCGGGCGCAATGGCGGGAGCAAAGTACTTCGTGACCCCCGACTTCAGCACCCTGTTCAATGGGGAGGCAGTCCTCCTTCTGTCCGATCAGACCTCTCCTTCTGTCCATCCGTCCATTGCCGCCACTGGTGTTATGTCGGGCATGTCCCTCTACAGGGGGAATATTCAAAAATACTAAAAAAATTGTCTGGTGAGATTTTTTCCCAATATGTTTGAACATGTCTTGGGCATTTTTGTTTTGCATATTTTTACGTTACAGCGAGGACTGATCAGTTTCTAGTGGGCTCAAGAGAGAGCATCTTGACTCCCCAGGGGGGTCTGGGCGGGTGCCGGGAGAATCCGGGGATTCCGGGGACTCCCCAGGACTCTTATAGATTCCTATAGGTTCCTATAGATTCTTGGGAATAGTGTTCCCAGAAGAACACCATACCCGGGCCACATTTTGAATGCCCGGAGCCAACTGTAGGCCACTTCGTGTTCTTCGTCTTCCCAGAACACCATTCCCAGGCCACATTTTGAATGCCCGGAACCAACTGTGGGCCACTTCGTGTTCTTCATGTTCCCAGAACACCACTCCTGTATTATATTTTGATTGCACTGGGCCATCTGTGGGCGACTTCGTGATCTTCGTGTTCCCAGAACACCAGTCCTGTGCCATATTTTGAATGCCCGAGCTGAGGCAGGCTGAGGCCGAGGCAGGCTGAGGCCGAGGCAGGCTGAGGCTGAGGCTGAGGCACGCCGAGGCAGGCTGAGGCTGAGGCTGAGGCAGGCTGAGGCTGAGGCAGGCTGAGGCTGAGGCTGACGCAGGCTGAGGCTGATGCAGGCTGAGGCTGAGGCTGAGGCATGCTGAGGCTGAGGCTGAGGCTGAGGCTGAGGCTGAGGCTGAGGCAGGCTGAGGCTGAGAGGCTGACGCTGAGGCCGAGGCAGGCTGAGGCTGAGGCTGAGGCCGAGGCAGGCTGAGGCTGAGGCTGACGCAGGCTGAGGCCGAGGCAAGCCGAGGCAGGCTGAGGCTGAGGCTGAGGCTCATGCTGAGGCAGGCTGAGGCTGAGACAGGCTGAGGCTGAGGCAGGCTGAGGCTGAGGCAGGCTGAGGCTGAGGAGGCAGGCTGAGGCTGAGGCCGAGGCAGGCTCAGGTAGGAATCCTTCGGAGTCCCCAGGAATCCTTAGGAATCCCTAGGAATCCCCAGGAATCAGGATTCCTAAGGATTCCTAAGGTTTCCTGAGGATTCCTATGGATTCCTAAGGATGCCTAAGGATGCCTTAGGAATCCCTAGAAATCCTTAGGATTCCATAAGGCCGTTGCCACTGCGACTGTCATTGCGAATGCGACTGCGAGAACAGCAGAATTCTACAACTGGATTCTCACCTGAATCTTAAGGGGAATGCTTCCAGATATGCTTATACTCATCGCTGTTAGGTTGCTTTGCCGAGATGATTACCTAACAGCGAAGACTGATCAGTTTCTAGTGGGCTCAAAAGAGAGCATCTTGACTCCCCAGGGGGGTCTGGGCGGGTGCCGGGAGAATCCGGGGAATCCGAGGACTCCCCAGGACTCTTATAGATTCGTATAGATTCCTATAGATTCCTGGGAATAGTGTTCCCAGAACACCATTCCCAGGCCACACTGCGAATGCCCGGAGCCAACTGTAGGCCACTTCGTGTTCTTCGTCTTCCCAGAACACCATTCCCAGGCCACATTTTGAATGCCCGGAGCCAACCGTAGGCCACTTCGTGTTCTTCGTGCTCCCAGAACGCCATTCCCAGGCCACATTTTGAATGCCCGGATCCAACCGTAGGCCACCTCGTGTTCTTCGTGTTCCCAGAACACCATTCTTGTACTATATTTCGATTGCCCGGAGCCAACTGCGGGCCACTTCGTGATCTTCGTGTTCCCAGAACACCAGTCCTGTGCCATATTTTGAATGCCCGAGCTGAGGCAGGCTGAGGCCGAGGCAGGCTGAGGCCGAGGCAGGCTGAGGCTGAGGCTGAGGCACGCCGAGGCAGGCTGAGGCTGAGGCTGAGGCAGGCTGAGGCTGAGGCAGGCTGAGGCTGAGGCTGACGCAGGCTGAGGCCGAGGCAGGCTGAGGCTGAGGCCGAGGCAGGCTGAGGCTGAGGCAGGCTGAGACTCAGGCTGAGGCAGACTGGGGCGAGGCTGAGGCTGAGGCAGGCTGAGGCTGAGCGGCTGAGGCTGAGGCTGAGGCAGGCTGAGGCTGAGGCTGAGGCCGAGACAGGCTGAGGCTGAGGGAAGCCGAGGCAGGCTGAGACTGAGGCTGAAGCTGAGGCAGGCTGAGGCTGAGGCTGTGGCTGAGGCTGAGGCAAGCTGCGGCTAAGGCTGATGCAGGCTGAGGCTGAGGCTGAGGCAGGCTGAGGCTGAGGCTGAGGCAGGCTGAGGCTGAGGCTGAGGCCGAGGCAGGCTGGGGCTGAGGCCGAGGCAAGCCGAGGCAGGCTCAGGCTGAGGCTGAGGCTGATGCTGAGGCAGGCTGAGGCTGAGACAGGCTGAGGCTGAGGCAGGCTGAGGCTGAGGCAGGCTGAGGCTGAGGAGGCAGGCTGAGGCTGAGGCCGAGGCAGGCTCAGGTAGGAATCCTTCGGATTCCCCAGGAATCCTTAGGAATCCCTAGGAATCCCCAGGAATCCGGATTCCTAAGGATTCCTAAGGTTTCCTGAGGATTCCTATGGATTCCTAAGGATGCCTAAGGATGCCTTAGGAATCCCTAGAAATCCTTAGGATTCCATTGGATCCTAAGGCCGTTGCCACTGCGACTGTCATGGCGAATGCGACTGCGACTGCGAGAACAGCAGAATTCTACAACTGGATTCTCACCTGAATCTTAAGGGGAATGCTTCCAGATATGCTTATACTCATCGCTGTTAGGTTGCTTTGCCGGGATAATTTATTTTTCGTCCAAAGCCTGCCTGTAGGGGGACAGGCCCGACTCAGCACTGGTGCCGCGGAGCGAGCCGCCTCGGCAGTGGTTCGTGCCAGGGCCGTCCTTGGCTCGACCGTGACGGTGTGGCCCCTCTGTGCCGCGAGGGAGTCGCGCGGGTCAGCGCTCTCCAGCACGGCCCTGGCGAAGGGCGGACTGGGGGGGGAGCAGGGGAGCAGCGGAGAGAGAGAGAGAGAAAGAGAGACTTGCTTACTTCGGACTGTGTCTCCGTTTGTTGCTTCTCTCTCTCTCTCTCTCCTTCCCTCTCCTTCTCTCTGTCTTATAAGTACGTACATCTGCATCTCGCTCTCCGGCTCTCCTCTGGTCTTGCCTTCCTTGGACAAGCATACACCTCGCAGACCGCCCTTCGGGCGATCAGGAGGCTGGGTTGTGTGAGGAATGCCGTTCCTACTTGCATTCAGAATTGCGCTTCGATGCAATTGGATTTCCATGCCGACTCGCAGTTCGGTTGCGACGGTCATTTCGATGTCCATGTCAAGGGCATGTCGAATGCGTTCTGATTAAAACCTCCAGCTTGCAACCAGAGTTTCATGCTGGATGTATTTGGATTTGATTGTTGATGCGATCTGCAAGGTCTATGTCGCGTTCACAAAGGATGCGCAATCCGAGTAGCATTCCGATATGGACATATGGACTTCAACTCGGATTTGCGTTTGGATGTTCATCACACTTCTATTCGGAGTTAGACGCGCACATCGTTTGCCATTGGATGTACATTCCGGCGTGCGCTTCCGCGGAACGGCCACGGGAACAGTCGCGGGGCCGTGTCGGAGCCGGCCTCGCTCGCCGCCACCTCGGCTCGGGTATCTGCCGGCGCTGGCGCGAGGGCTCCGCACCTCATCGCCAGGGTCTCGGTCCTGCGCGCGCCCAGGGCTTCTCTCCGGAGGGTCTCTCCGGAGAGTCCGCCCTCACCCGTCGCCGTCTCGACCCGAGTGCGGACTGGCACTTGGCGTGGGTGCGTCCCCGGAGGAGCACGTCATCGGCATCGGCGGGTTCAGCCCCTTCGCCCCTGCCCCCCCCTCCACGGCCATCCGCTCCTGCGGGCGTCACGCCCAGACCGCATCATGGGGATGTGTCACGTTCCCAGGGTGCTCCTGTCAGCCCCTCTGGCCCATCCTGGCCCGTTTTGCCATGGGCCACGAATCTCCAATTTCGGCTTCAAATTTGGCGTCCGAGGGCCTTGCATCCTTGCCTCGGATCCTTCTGTTCCGGTCGCGTTGTACAGTTTCGTTCTGCGGGTCCAGGTGTATTAGGAGACTCTGCATCCGCAGTGGACGCCGCTTCGTCGTGCAAGCAGGGCATCGACAGTTACGGCGCACGAGTACTGTTTGGCGCGCGGAATTGCGCAAGGTATTCGGAGATGCACTTGAACACGTGTGTGTACGGATGTTCTCTCTTGTGATGCGGACGACGTGCATGCCCTTATCTGAATGATCACTCATGCTGCATATGCCGTTGCCTCCCCGTCATGACCATACCATAGTCCAATGTGCCCCAATTCTCAGTGCAATCTAAGCTTTCGTCGCAGACAAGTTTTCAGTCAAGCTTGATCTGTTGCCTCTCGTCTTGCCTCGCTCCTCGCGGAGCCAGACTCATTACCGAGCAGAGGTGTGGCAGCGCGCCATGATCCAGATTTTCTACTCCCTGGGAGTCGGCTTTGGGTCCCTCATCGCCTTCGCCTCCTACGGGAAACAGGACGACAAACGCTGCGTCATCTGCCCCTCCCCCCTCCTCTCGTCCATCCTTTCCCCTCCCCGTCCCACATCCTTCTACAGCACTCCTTGGGCCGCCCCTAGAAACCCTAGACCCTCCGACCAACCCGACACATCCTAAAACAGCATTCCTCCTCTTCCTTCTCCTCTTGCTTCTCCTCCTCTTCCCCCCCCGCTCCTCCTCCTCGTCCTCTTCCTCCTCCTCCTCCTTCTCGTCCTCCTCCTCCTCCTTCTCCTCCTCCTCTCCCTTTGCTGTGTTGATGGGGAATGTTTTCGGGGAGGAGGAGGAGGAGGAGGAGGAGGAGGAGGAGGAGGAGGAGTGCATCGTTGCCCTGAAGGCTGGTGAGGCCACGGCAGAACTCGCTATCCAACGTGTGCGGCGCCTCGCTGCCGCATGGGTGGCTCAGCGCCCGCGTATTCGTCTTGTTGGCGTTCTCGGGCCACAGCAAGAAGTGCTCGTCGACCCGAACGAGGCTGCAGCTGCTCTTGGAGACTTCTGTGGTAACGTTTTTGACAATTCCGACGAGGTCCCGATCCCCGAGGCTCATCCCCGGTTCCAGCCTGTCCAGAAAATCGAGACGAATCCCGAGCAATATGTTAGCAGCACCCACCAGTACTTTGAGTGGGTTCTCTCCGAAACGAAGTTCCTCGAGTTTTTGGATCGGAAGAAAGACTCCGCTGCGGGCCCGATGGCATCCCATATTCGGTCTGGCAGAAGTCAGGTCCTCGCGCTCGCTCAGTATTATATAACCTCTACTTGCACGAGATGCAAGGCCATCCGCTCACCGCAGAGTTCAATTATTGTCGTGCCGCTTTCTTATATAAAGGTGATCTGGTGAATCAGGGGGAGGAAGTTCGAGACCCAAATGCCGTTCGTCCTCTCTCTTTCTCCAGCACTGACAACAAAGTCGTTAGCAATGCAATTACCAGCGTCCTCAATGAAATCGCCGCCGATCGCTGTCATGTCGTCCAGCGTGGTTTCGTTCGTGGTCGGATGATGAATGATAACCTCATAAACATGGATGGCCTGCTCTCCCTCTGGGGGTACGTGCAGCGTGAGCTCAACTGCGGGTTCACCCTCTTCGATTTTCAGAATGCGTTCCCGCGCGTATACCACTCGTGGATTTTCTTCGTGCTCCTTTCCATGGGCCTCCCGAGTTTTATCAGGCAAGCGCCTTTTCTGCTGTACCAGGACGTCTGGACGTTCATTTCCCTTAAGGACTGGGGGAGTCATGGATATTGGGCCAAACGGGGGATGAAACAGGGCTGCCCACTGAGTGGTGTTCTGTTCGCGCTCGCGCTAGATCCAGTCTTGCGGTACGTGCTCCAGCTCGAGCCTGTGCTCCTTTTCGAGCTGGGCGCGTTCGCTGACGACATCTATATGATTTCGCGCGACCTGTTTCGCTCGCTGCCCCTCGTGATGAAGCGTCTCGTCGCGTGCAGTGGCATCACGAGCCTCGCGCTGAACCAGAACAAGTGTGTGATCGTTGCGCTCCACGCCTTTTCGGATGAAGGAACTATTCGGAAGTTTCGTTTCCACGGGCTGAACGTCAGGGCCTTCAGGATTCAGTCCTCTGGTAAGCTTCTTGGGATTGTTGTCGGGAATGGTGGCCATAACTGAGCCTGGGAGCCCGTTCGTTTCAATCTTCGTTCCAGGACCGAGGAGGTACGGAGATTCGGGCTCAGTTTTATCCAGTCGCTGCAGGGCTACAGTGTCTACGTCCTTCCTGTCGTCTCGCACGTCAGCCAGTTCTACCCCCCGAATAAGGCCATACTCAATGAGGAAAGGGAAGTTCATCAGCTCCTCCCACGTGCTCCTCGGTTTTCTTTCCCTCCGGTGGCCATGCACCCCCTCCTGTCCCTCGTCCTCCCAGTCCACTGCCGTTCGCTCGAGATCCTCTGTAGGACCGTTATGCTGCGATGTGCAATCCGCTCTGACGAATTCCACCGGCTCCGAGACGAGTTAGCACATATCGAAGCTGGGGACGACTATGTGATTGCATACAGATGGTGCCCTGGCTATCGGCTCTCCATTGTTCAGCAGATGTCCAAAGTCTACGACTCGTTCACCGCCCTTCCCTCTGCTCCCGTGGTTGTCCCCTTCAAGTCTCTCCAGAGCGCCATCACAAGATGCCTCCTCCAGTTACTGCCGTCGGTTCCTATGGGCTCCCTGGTTATTGACAGGCTACGCCACTGGATCCCCGAGGCCTCCATGGCTGACGCCGACATCACCGCCATCCGACTTCATGTTCTGACCAAGCGCCTTCCCAGTTTCATAATTACGTCCGTCATTAAAACCGTGGTCAACGCCTGGCCCACAATTAAACGCTTTAGGCAACCGACCTCCTACTGTGTCTTCGGGTATTGCAACTGAGGAGCAGACTGCATCACCCATTACTTTGAATGCCCCGTCATCGTCCCTGTCATCAGACAGCTGATGCCGGCCCTGCCTCCAGAATGGGGAAATTGGACGCCTTGTTGTTTCCTTCCGCATTTGTGGCCCTCCTCCTCATCCTCCATCTCCGTAGCCATTTTGTCTTGAGGTGATGATTTCCCCCAGGAACAAAGTGGATACCTCTGATCCGAGACCAGACCACAATATTTGCATCCGAGCGATCCCCACGCTGAGCTGCCCAGCGGCCGTGGGTCCCGTTCAATATCTCCGCGAGTTTCTCGCGTCATTTTGTCTGCGGCATGGCGAAGAAGGATTCGCGCACAATTGAGGGGAGTGATCGCGTCAGCAGGGTTAGGCATGATGATCACCAGAAGAAGAAAGGACGCCGTCGTCAGCGGCGCAACTCGGCTTCGGGTTCAAGGTTGCAGAGTCGCTCAAGCAGCACCACGCGTTCCAGATCAAACCGCGGTCGTCGCAAAGAGTCGGCAGACAGTGGTGCTAGTGGCAGCATCATGGGTGGTTATGACGGTGCGCTTGTGGGTGTGAGGCAGGTCCTGAAACAATACCAAGACACCACGCCCGTCAAGTTTAATGGCCCGCGCAGAGGAATATCTTCACAATCCGATCGCCATGTGATTACCATCAACAGCATGCAGCTGAATATGATTGAGCAGCACAATCGCATCCAGAATGGTAGGACCAGCCAGAAGAACCAGCAGGGACAGTGCACAATGCGCAGGGACCCAGCAGTCAGTGGACGGCACAGTGAGATACATCGGAGCGTTCGCGCAGCCCCTTTCTACGTGAACAACGCAAATATCCTTGCGATACGGTCGTATTCCCAAGGTTTCGGCACTTGTTAGACAGTGTTGAGTCCATCGTCCGCGGTGTGCTGCACCAGTGCAAAATCAGAATCCCCAACCCACGCTTGGCAAATGTGCTCCAGAACGCATGCAACGAAGCAGGTGGGCGCACATGGAGAAACCCTCGTACGAGTAGGACGGCTGCCACCAGGTGTCGCCTGGATCTTCCGGTCGACGTTCGGGAGCGGCAAAGGTAGTACAACAAGATAGAAGAGTCGTTCATACTGGAGCTTCGTAAGCCGGCCGAGTGCACCCCAGGTGGTTGCCAGGGGATGAACGGATTCGAAGGCGTCTTCCAGGTGATTGACAACGGTCATGTCTGGGAGTTGGTGGTCACGAAAAAAATCGTAGTTGGACCACAGTCGGAGTTCGAGCCGATCGTCGCAGAGTTAGGGGAATGGGGAGTCTGCATTGAGAAAGCTGTTCAGCTGATTCAAGACACCACATCTGAGTGAGCCGCGCTGGGCGCAGCTTGCTCCAATCAGTCACAGTTCTTGTGGGCTCTCTTGTCGAGTGGGCGGCGGGAGTTGCAATCAGTCGTCCGTGCCAGGCAGCAGTCCCTCTTCTCCTTCCCCTCACTCGTTTCCTTTTCTTATTTCCTTTTTCGTGTGGGTCGTCGTCTCAGCATGTGCTCTTGGCGCGCTCAGACGATATTCGGTTCTGTGTTCATGAGTCAAGGCACCACTCGAGAAAAAACCGGTGCCTGAAAGCCATTCCTCGACAAAAAAAGATGTGATGTGTTGTATTCAAAAGACTATGGTGACCACTCAGAGGAAAATGTAGTGGCGGATGCTGTACATTCGGAAGCGACCAGGCGAGCTTACCGAGAATTTGAAGTGTCGCATTTCACCGGAATCATAGCAGACTGAGGGTATATCGGGAGCGTTATGGTATTGCATTATGGGATAAGTACTGCGATCGCCAATGCTATTCGTGGGCGGGATATATATATATATATATATAACGTGGCAAGTTATGATGAGCCCAGATGGGTAGAGGAGCCGCCCAGAGAAAAGGGGTGTGAAATGTAGTGAGACAGGTGGAGGAGTGGTCGGGTAATGGGCGGCATGGGCACGGACGGCACCATATGGAGGTGGGAATAGCATTTTACCAGCGGGATCAGACAGAATTGGATCATGAGAGTCCAAGATCGAGCCAACTGGGATCTGGGCCTTGAATATTTCATGTCGCGTTGTAGTCGATCCTTCCCCTGTTAACAGAGAGTAGGGTTTTGTTGATGTGATTTATGCCTCGTAGCTTCTTAGGGCACCGTGCACCTCAACCTCATCATCATCCTCCTCCTCATCATCACCATCATCATTACCGTCATCAGCATCATCAGCATCATCATCAGCATCAGCTTCATTTTATCAGCATCAGCATCATCAGCAAAACAATCATACCATCCTCATCATCAC